TGATGATGATGGTGATGATGATGATGGTGATGATGGCGATGATGATGATGATGATGATGATGATGATGATGATGATGGTGATGAGCATCTGCCTTCGGGGCGTGTGAGACACCTGCCTGCTTTGAGAGGGCCACCGAGACCCGAGGGAGCACGAGCAGCGGCAGCCAGACCTTTTTCACCACGGGCAGCGCAGACAGTTGTACTGATCTCAAGCACTGTGCACCAGCACCTTTTCAGGGTGCTGCTCAACAACATCACAGAATTCTGAAGCGCAGCTCCGCTCCGCAAGGCAAAGAAGTAAAAATGTGACAAGGGAGGTGGGCGGGAGCAACACACGCTGCAGAGAGCAACATCGGCTGACGCAAGACGTGCGCGCACTAGTAGCATCTGCCTTCGGGGCGTGTGAGACACCTGCCTGCTTTGAGAGGGCCACCGAGACCCGAGGGAGCACGAGCAGCGGCAGCCAGACCTTTTTTACCACGGGCAGCGCAGACACTTGTACTGATCGCAAGCGCTGTGCACCAGCACCTTTTCAGGGTGCTGCTCAACAACATCACAGAATTCTGAAGCGCAGCTCCGCTCCACACGTGCAAACTGTTCTATCATGGAGGAGACGGGGTGGTGGTGGGACTTCTCCCTGGATACACACACGCTACAAAACTGCAGAAAAAAAGAGGTGGCCTTCAGGCTCTTAAAACCATTAGCGAAAGCATTGGCAAGGGCACGGGAAAAACACTTTGGATATTCCTCGGCCACGCGGGTTTTAAAGATTCCATTACTGCTCTTGCCCGTTAAAGAAACATGTGATTTGTTAGTTCTGGAACACCTTCCCCTGCAGAGTTTACACCTACGGCCCAAGGATTCAACCGGCAAGTAACTACACACTAACCTAGTTGGCTTCATCCAAGGGACTCCCCATTGACAGAAATCAGTTCGAATCTCCCGCGTAGTGCGACGTCGTCGTAGATGCAGCATCTGAGGCGCCTCCCAAATAAAGGATAAGTAAGGGTTCTCGATATAGAACGGGGCCATGTGTAGAGACGCCACTGACGCGATGCCCACAGTGTTTTTCATGGTAGTGTTCCCATATCAATCTTCCAGCGCTGCCCGTCGTTTCGCAAGCCGGGCAGCCCAAGAATGTGTTCACCGCTTCTTAAGGGCTGGGGGCCGTTAGGCCTGGCACGAGCGCGAGACCGTGAAATACACGGCGTGCCAAAGTGAATGCCTATGACGAAGCCCGACATGATCCAGCCTCTAATGGCTCTCACCAGGGATCTCTTACACATATCATGCCTCATGTCGAACCGAGCGTCGATGGCGATCGCCAGGAAGCCGAGCCGAGCCATCTCCCTGGACACGCGAGCCGTTCCTGCAAAGATCTCTAGAAAGAAGGGCACAATCAACGTACGCGTAGGCCCGCTGGAGCCTGCAGCGGCGCGGCCGCACTCTGCAGGATCCTCGGCACAGCCCCCAAACACCTGGCGGCGAATTCTTTCATCTGGGTAGAACACCGATTTAGGAGCTCGTTGATACGCCCTCCTTTTTGATATCTCCTCACACTGCTGTCTGATGACCACCTGCCGCGATGCTTGATCTCCGCGATCGCCCTGCGACCTGCCAGGAAGTCGGCACTTGGCCCTGAGTGACGGAGACGGTACATCGTGAACTCGCCGATCGCCTCCTCGAGGCCGAACTCGCGGATGATCTGCGCCACGCTCTCGCCGAGGGCAACCGACCCGATCCCTGCCAGGCACTCGCTGGCTGGGCGGATCCGTCGAAGCCGAAGGAGCGCCGTCGCAAGAGGTAGCCAGTCCACCTTCACTGTCTCGTCGAACTCCCCCACCTTGGAGCTCACGCCGAGCTCGAAGGGATGCAGCACGATGGCGACTGCGGCCCCTGGCCCACTTGCACTGACTGGCGGGTGGATCACCCCCCACGTTGTGCGGGACAGCTCGCCGGGGCGAAGGTAGCAGTGGTGCGCCGCCAAGACCGCCGCGCCCTGCTGCAACCTCCCCTGCGCGATCAGCTCGTTCGCCACCACAAAGAGCAGGCTCTCGGGAACTGGCAACCTCGACTCGCCCGGAGCAAGTCGGCGCAACGCCACGGAGCATGTCCGCGCCCGAGGAAGGTTGCACACCTGCTTGCCCACGGAGGCGAAGGCCCAGGACAGCGCTGCCAGCAACCGGCCGCCCTCGCCCCCCGTCGTGCCCTCGAAGAACTCCTCGTTGAGGTGCTCCGCCACCGCCGCGTCCAGGCTCGCCACGCTCATCTGGCCGAGGAAGCTGATGATGCGGTCCTGCGCCCGGTCCAGCTCCGCGCCAGTCACGCTCTGCGCGATCACCATCCCCGAGCGCCGCGCCAGCCCCGCAAGCCGACGGAGGTGCGATCGCCTCGTCGGCGCTCGCACCACGACCGTCTCCAGCACCGTCCGTCCGGGCAAGGCCCGCACAGCACCGTGAGCATCCTGCCGTCGCCGAACTCGCCGACGCACATGCTCTGGCGCTGTGGCCGGGGCCAGGCGCCGTCGCGGCAGGCGAGGATCTTCGGCTGGCGCCGCCGCCGGTGCGACCGGGGGGGGGCGGGCCGCGCCCGGCAGCAGCACTGGCGCGGCCGGCGCCTGGCGGGTCAGGAAACGCCCGGCGTCGCCACTCCGAGAGAGCACCCTCTCCTCGCGCGCTGCCCCAGCCACGGCGGAACTTGCCTTCAGCGGTCGCCGCACCAGCATGCCGCAACCCGCGGCGGGACGGCTCGTCAGCTACGTTCCTCTCGCTGGGCACCCATCGCAGACAGAGCTGGATGCCCCACAGCAGGAGGAGGGAGGCCAACTGGCGGGCGACGCGGCACTGACCCGGCGCACTCGACCTTCCCTTTTGAGCCGAAAGCAACGCACCCATGGAGTCCGTGAGAAGGAGGACCCGCTTCTGGATGTACTCGCGAGTCTTTGCGACCCTCCTGAGGACTCCCACCAGGGCCCGACCTTCGAGACAAGTGATGTGCTCACTACGCTCCGAAGCCTTACTACTGACCGTGTGCCACTTTAGCGTGCAGCAAGCTAGTGTGAAGCCCAGGAACAGGAGGCACTCTTCGAAAGGAACCTTCAGGTGCCCCAGCGTCATCATCATCCCCTTCTTCCAGTACTGCCCGTGGATTAGCACGACCTCCACCCAAGAAGTGCCACCGATCTGAATACCTACTGGCCTCGTCCAACACCTCAGTGAGCGGCCGCGCCGCGCATATCCCAAGACCCCACGGCGACGCATCACACGTATAGGCCCTCGGCCCCCACGGCTTGGTAAGGTCGCACTCGAGCAACGGATGCAACGCCTGAGCCCAACGGAGTTCTCTCAGCACCGCGGGCCACAGCTTCGAGGGGCTATCGGGGTACTTCTCTATGAATACATACACGGCACGAAAGCATGACAGCAACTCCCGACGAAGCATTGCCCGATGGGCGATGTGTCCCAAGAGCTTCCGAAGCGTCCTTCCAGAACAACGACGGCGCCGCAAGAGGAACTCCAAAGCCATCCACACCCTCCATCTCCTTTCGCGTCGTGGTAAGATTCGACCATCTCCCGAGACGCTGAGCCCCAGTAGATCTCCCCCGACTCCGACGACATCGACCTCGTGAGCCTCTAGACCGGCACCTCGAACAGCCCCCAGGGATCGCTGAGTGAGATCACGACAAACATCAGGGGAGCTCGAGAAGACGCCCACGTTGTCCACATATACCGACACACACCCATTTTTCAGATCACCAACTGGCCGATGATCCTGTAGAAGATGAGAGCTTGGAAACGCCTGGCTCAAAATCCTCTCGTGTATTGTCTGGCACCAGTACAGCGCGTGAACCCAACCCATCGGCATGACAGTAAGCCGAGGTCGCACCATCCCTCCAGTGCTCGGAATGACGGGGAGCAGCTGCTTCATCCACTTAGCCTTGATGGGGGGCAGATGGAAAAATCTCCGCAACTCGGGGGGTGCTCCAAACTGAAAGAAAGCATCCTTTAAATCGTACTGACCTACATACAGCTGCTCTCCGGCCTCGAGCCTTAACCTGGATAGCGCGCCCGATGTGGGCAGCTCGACATGATCACTACTCGTGAAAAATCAATTGGACTGCCGGCAGTCGGCAATCAGGCGCTGGGCACCGCTCTTCTTGCGCACAGTAAAAAGTCCTGCGCAAGCGTCACCTTCCTCGCACACAAACTCAACCATGTTCCTGACACGCAGCATCTGAAGCACGCGCGCATATCGGCGCGCTGACCTGCGAAGGCCAGGGTCATGATAAAGATTCATCTTGCTCGCTTCGAAACTGCGCATGCCTACTGAGTTTGGTAGCACATGCTCGCACATCCACGCCTGGACTTCCTCACGACCTTTGGGGCCCAGAAGCTGACATATATCAGTTGGGGCCGCCCCTGCAGGCCTAAGCGACAGCAGAGACTCGCCCAGGGGAACTGCCGGCGAACTCTCGCCAGAGTAGTCACACCCACCGCTGATGCTCGACAAAGCCTCGGCCGGCTGAACATCGGCGGGGGGGGCGCCCATCCTACTGCAACGTTCACGGAGGTGCCCCATGCTGCCCCCGCCCAAAGACGAAGCAGAACCCGCAGGACAGCACGGAGCACCACCCAGGTACATTTCTGTAAGGACGGAGGCGGCGTCGTGACTAAGCCGATTCAACCACTGCTCGGACGAGACTGGAAGACTGCTCAGCCCAGGCGGCCGCCTAGTTGCGCAGATCGAGGGATCTGACCTCGATGCTTTTACCCGATGCTCTAAAGGTGTCCGAGGCTCCGTCGACGAAAATAGCCGACCCGACTTTGCGCTCGAATTCGTCGCTCCTGTGAGCGATGGATGGCCTGCCTGCAGTGCTGGCCGTCGGATGAGGCCGTCTCCGACGGCCTTGCGTGTGCTCATTGCCCGCCGCCCCCACGGCCACGACCACCTCCGCCTGGGGGCTGACGAAGGAGGGCTCTCTCTTCTCGAGCTTTTCTGGCTTGCTTCTGGATCTGCGACTCCTTCTCTAACTCCTTACTCACGTGCTCGATGAGCGTCGGGGCACAGCACACCGTGGGATTGACGTGCTGCCGCCCCTCGAACAAGTCCATCTCGTCGTGCGTGATAACTGCTGATCCAGCGACGGAGGAAGAAGCGCCGGCGGTTCCGCCGCGCTCTCCCTCTCGAACCTTCTCTGCGTACTGGTACTCTATGGTCTGGAGACGGCGTGCGATCTTCTCCATCACCACCAAGTTCGACAGGTCGAGCTGATCCACACTCCCCGCCGCCTCCAGGTACCAGCACAGCTGGCCATGCTCGGCTACGCCCCAATCTGAGGCGTTCAGGCGCGTGGTCGATCTCCACCAGCGGTGGTGGTCCTCGGGCCCGGTGTTGCGACGAGCCATGAAACGGGCCACCCACTGCGCTGTCCTTGGCCCCTTGACGGGCCAATGGTCGATCGCACTCTCATTCACACTCTCCGCCACGTTCGCCCAGCTGCGCAGCCGCTCGCCAGAAGGGGAGTACCGAACTGGCAGCACCCGCGCGTCGCTGGAGGCGGCGTGGTCCGCCTTCCATTGCTCGACCTGGTTCATTGCCACCTTCTCTACCAAGAGCACGTCCAGCCCAGCACGAGCGATGCCGCGCTTCTCGACGAACACCTCCAGCTGCCCTGGGCACTCGTCACCGACCGAGAAGACTGCGTTCGACTCCGCGAACAGCCAGACCTCAGGTTCGGCTCCCGGCGGAGCCACTCCGCGGCCTGCCAGCGCCACCAGATCCTGCGCCTCCTCCATCAGCCCGCGCAGCGCGGCCTGATCAGGTTCAGCACCAGCTCTGAAGTTGTAGATGTTGGCACCCTGCAGGCTCGCTGGGATGCTGCCGTCCGCCTTGAAGGCCCGCACACCTGTGATATCGCCGTTGTTGGGGCCGTAGTCCTCCTCATACAGGTCACTGTCGGGTGTATATATGATCCACCTTGTGTCCTCAACTCTCGCGAGCAGGATGCGAACGTGCCAGAGGTCATCATCGTAGCGCACCAGCACCTTACGCCCCGGGGCCAACGACGATGACACCACCGCCGGCCCCGCCGCTCCTGCCTGCCCTGCTGCTGCCACCAGCTGCGCCATCGGTCAAGCTGACCACCCGCTTGGGACTCCGAAAAGAGCAGCCCCGACCAAGGAGAGCTCCCACCACGAAGGCCAATACGACGAAGCCGGCGTGCAGCACGAAGTTGAACTCGTAGCGCGCCGTGCTGGTCGTCGGGCCTGCCAGCTGCTGGGAGACCAGGCGCTCGAGAGCGGGGCACTCCCCACTCGCCTCGCCCGAGACGACGCACTGGCAAACACAAGGCGGACACGCTTCTTCCACCTGTGGTCTAGAAAAGAGATGGTACACTCCCGACAGAGAGTCACGTGTGAGTGTGTACAGCAGCAGAGGGTCTACCTGCATATGCATCCAGGAAGCCCCCCCTTTGAGCAACACACGCTGCAGAGAGCAACATCGGCTGACGCAAGACGTGCGCGCACTAGTATGATGATGATGATGATGATGATGATGATGATGATGATGATGATGATGATGATGATGATGATGGTGATGTTGGTGTTGTTGATGATGATGATGATGATGATGATGATGATGATGACGTCGATTGTGAGATCGATTGTGACATCGATAGTGAGACCGAATGTGAGATTGATTGTGAGATCGATAGTGAGATCGATTGTGAGATCGATAGTCAGATCGATTGTGAGATGCTGATGGTAATGATGATTATGCTGATGATGGTGCCGAGTGAAAACTGCCGAGTGAAAATCGATAATGAGATCGATTGTGAGATCGATAGTGAGACCGAATGTGAAACCGAATGTGAGATCGATTGTGAGATCGATTGTGAGATCGATAGTGAGATCGATGGTGAGACCGAATGTGAGACCGAATGTGAGATCGACTGTGAGATCGATTGTGAGATCGATAGTGAGATCGACAGTGAGAGCGAATGTGAGACCGAATGTGAGATCGATTGTGAGATCGATTGTGAGATCGATAGTGAGATCGATAGCGAGATCGATAGTGATATCGATAGTGAGATCGAATGTGAGATCGATTGTGAGATCGAAAGCGAGATCGATTGAGTGAGACGTCGGTTCCCCCTCCCCCCTCACCTCCTTATCACCCGCAGGGTGGTCGTATAGGTAAATACACACAAATAAAGCGATTCCCCATATTTTCCCACATTTTCTAGGTTTTTGTCTTCCCACCCAATTCTCATATTTTCCTATATTTTCTTGGGAATCGACGATTGATTGTGTCTGTGTGTTTTTTCCCCTCCTGAGAGGAGCGGCGGCAGCAGGAGGGGGAAAGGGGGAGGAGGAAGGGAGGCGAGGAGGGCGAGGGCGAAGGTGAGGGGGGCGAGGGCGAGGAGGAATGGAAAGGGGGCGGGAGGAGGAGCAGGGAGGAGGGAGGAGGGGGGAAGGGAACGAGGGAGGGAGGACGAGGGCAGGGGGGAAGGAGGGAGGGAGGAGGGCGAGGGCGAAGGCGAGGGGAACGAGGACGAGGACGAGGAGGAAGAACAGCGGCAGCAGCGTGCGCGTGGCCTCCGTGACCCATATCCGCTCAAGCAGGCCGCGCGGGGCGACGGATTCTTCCTCCCCGCTGAGCGGCGCGCACGAGTGGCCAGGGCGAGGCGGGCGACCTTCCAAGAATGCAGGCGGCTTGTCGGAAGGGACCCTCTTCTCAAAAGGCCTTCCAAAATGGAGGCATCCCACTTGGGTCGGAGGGTCGCGCCGCATCGCCAATGCATCGGCGATGCGCTGGCGACCGCGGAACGGGGAAGAACGGTCTCCCAATCGAGCCGCATCGCCGTTGCACCGGCGGTGCGGCCCTGGTTCCATTTGAGAAGCCTGCTCTGAGCCGAAGCTCCGCTCGAAATCGGCCCTCGGACCAATTCGATGTCTATCCTGGCCAGCTTCTGTGGAGCCGCGTGCAGCGGGGGCCACCGTCCAGGACCCTCCAGGAAGCCCCAAACGATGAAAGATATCTAAGCCATCCCTCCACTCTGCACATCCGACGGATTGAGTTTGTCAATCCGCGGATCCTGAACCCGGCTTCCTGAGGACCGGGCTTGCCATCTCGATACAACTCCTTGCACGCCCCGCGCCGAAAAACTGCCCCTCGACGCTGGAATTGCAAATAGGCTCTGGGACCCCAAAGAATCACGATTCCTCGGAGGTCTGCAGGAGGGCGCCAGCTGTAAGCCTACACCAGTCTTGACCAGGTCGATCGTAGGTCCAGGATGGGTACATGCATGCATACATCTTCCTGGCCAGGCCAAACTGATCCTGGGCCCAGTATTGAGGGGGCCGAAAGGAGACTGGCTGAGGGGGGAAGCAACGACCTGGAATCGGCGATTGATCCGCGGCAGGCCCCCACCAGCAGAATTTCTCCTGGGCGGCGTGGGGGGCCCAAGTCCCCGTTGACGATGAATGGGCCATTGGGGGGCGAGACCTCCACCCTGGAGCGAATCCAATCCGTGCTGGCGCCCCTGATTGACACACACACATATGTATATATATACATATACATACACATAATGTCGACATACATACATACATCCATCCATACATACATACATACATACATACGTACATACAAACATACATGCATACACACGTACATACATACGTACATACATACATACATACATACATACATACATACGTACATACATAATACATACATACGTACATACACACATACCTACATACCACATACCTACATACCTACATACCTACATGCATACATATCTACATACATACATACATACATACATACATACATACATACATGCATACATCCATACATGCGTACATGCATATGTACATACATGCAGACATGCATACATATACATACACGTATACATATACACATGCATACACATATACATATACATATACATATACATATGCATATACATATACATATCCATATACATATACATATACACATATATATATACATATACATATACATATACATACACATACACATAGACATATACATAGACATACACATATACACATACATAAACATATAAATATACATATATATGTATATATATATAAAAATATACATATACATATACATATACATATACATATACATAAATATAAACATAAACATAGACATATCTATAATTACATGTATAAATATGCAAATATGTAAACCTATATACATATACATATACACATACACATACATCTATATATCTACATATATATACGTACATGAACATATACATATACAAAAACGTATACATATACATATACATATATATACACACACAAGTGGCACGTGTCTGTCCAGGCTCATACAAAAAACTGAAAGGTCGTTTGGAGCAGGAAGACACCATGACGGCAGGATCGGAGATGGAGAAGGGGAAGCTGGCGCGGCGCCGCCAGGGCGTGCCTAAGAGAAGGGGAACAGGCAGGAGGTGAACGCAGAAGAATCTAAGATCGAGGAAGAGCCCTCCCAAAGAATTGGGGGTCGAGCAGGAGGATCGACGAGGACAATGCCTCTCCGAGGTCAGCGTTGCGAGGATGCCTCAGGCGAAAAAGGCCTGACCACCTCAGCTCAGGGCATTTCGGAACCCAGAGTTGCGAGGACGTTTCAGGCGAAAGTGGCCTGAACACCTCGAGCGCAAGCGGGGTTGCCACACCTTGCGATGTGTGTACCACGGGCCTCAGGAGGCCCGACCAGGATGCTGCAAAACATTCCTGGCGGAATGAGCGAAGCGATTAACAAGAGAAGGATAAGCACGATTCCCACCAGCCGATTTGTTTCACTAGATGTGGAGGGAAAGAGAAGGACGTCAAGAGGAGGAGAAGGATAGCTGCTGGGAGTGAAGTGCAATGGAGGGGTCGCACTCGAGCGCAAGCGGGGTTGCCACAACTTGCGATGTGTGTGCCACGGGCCTCAGGAGGCCCGACCAGGATGCCGGAAAACATTCCAGGAGGCCCAAGGAGGGGTCGTCTGGGATCGAGGTTGCGAGGATGTCCATGGAGGCCTCAAGGAGGCCGCAGGAGGCCCAAGGAGGCCCCAGGAGGTCCCAGGAGGTTCCAGGAGGCCCCCAGGAGGCTTCCAGGCGGGGTCTGGGGTACCAGAAGTTTCGTCAAGGCTCGATTTTCGGAGGACGTCTCTGGCGAAACCGCCATTCTTTGAGAATCGGGGTCAAAATCATTGGAATTACAGTGTGCTTTTGAAGGTTTTATGTTAGAATGTTGAAATTCCTGTGTTTTTGGACCCTCACGACACGATCTGTGTGAGGGGTGCCACCGATCTTCAGAATTTCGAAGATGTCCTTAGCGAAACGGCCAGAAAAATCGCGGACGCGGCTTGGCCTTCAATTAATCGCCTTTGAGTTCTACTCCCTCGGAGAGGTGCGTATGATAATACATATGTATGTGTATACATACATACATTTATATGTATGTATATATGTGTGTGTATATATATGTGTATGTATGTATATATATATATATATACATATCAACACATATATCAATACATATATATATACAAACGCGTATGTATGTAAGAACGTATGTATGCATATATTGTGTACATACATACATGCGTAAATACAGAGACACAGGCAGAAAGGGAAGCAGGCGAGCAGACAGACAGACATACATTTAGACATATTTACATACATACATACATCTGTATATATACATACATATGTGTACACACACGCTGAGGTGTCCTCAATCAGTGTTTGCACCACATGGATCTGAATGTATGTATATACGTACATACATGCATGCGTGCATGCATGCATACGTGCATACAGATATACACCTATACAGGTATGTGTATGTATTTGTCAAAATGCATACACGAATCTATATATACGTGTGTGTACACACACGCTGACGTTCCCAAACAGCACGTGCACCACATATTGTCTCGTATGCAACTAAACACAAAATTCTGCCCCCTCCCCTCCTCGACCTAACGCGTCACAGTGTTCGTAAAGTGTCCCTGCTTTGACTCTACATAGCCGCCCCATCTGGAATTATGAAGCCATACCATCCCAGGCAAACACTGATCGATCTCGTCTCATCATCCACAAAGAAACGGCATGCACGTACACATGTTTCACAAAACCGAGACTCTTCAAACATTCGTTGCGCCAGCAAAACGGAGCAATGTGCACAAGCGCACATCGTCGCGCGGGCAGGACGGAATCGTGCAAAAATTCTCCGTTGTGCAGGGACTCCGAAATCGAGCGCCCTGTTTTTTTCAAACCCATGAAA